AGAAATGTACGTTCTATACAGTATGAATGCGAGCAGTATGAATGGAACTCAGACTCGCTACATCTGCCCTTTTGTCATAATCACATGACCTAACCGCATCAGTTGTGTCGCTTTACTCCAATTCATGAATTCTCTCGCGGTGCACCATGAGATAGTGTATCGCCAATCCGATGCGTGCTTCAGAATCTCACCGCAAGTAGTAGGTCATCTGGGTACTTCTCACATACTGTTTTTAAAATTCTATGAATTCGGACATACTACTCTGCTCTACCACTGTTTTAGCCAACTATATATTATGGAAGTATGCAATTTTGGATGCAGATTATGTCAACATCAGTGGTATACCGCAGAGGTTCCCCATAACGGTCCTGGAGGTCCATTGTCCGGCAAATTTTAGTTTCAACCCCAATCAGACAATACCTGGGCTAGCAAATCAAGCTCTCCCTGGTCTACCAGAATGTTGGCACGTGAGCATTTCCATGAAATATCAACCTTCCCATGCAAAAAAAAAAAATGCTTTTGCCAAAATAGTCAAATCCTTTTTACGTTGTTGGCTAAGGCTTGGAATATAATGTACTGTAAAAATACTCAAAAATGTCTCAGTCACTGCTTTTAAACAATTATATTTGATTTACCAAAGTCACTCAAGAGATAATTTCACATCGGTCACATTCATAATGATTCTTTAATATTAGTTCACAGCAAGCTTTTTTTTTTTTTTTTTAAAGATGTCATTGTCATTGTTTTAAAGATGTCAACAGATGTATAATAGACGTCTAAGCTTAGACATCTTGGCTAAAACACGGCTAAATTTGGGCTGACAGTGAAAATCCAACAGACGTCTAAGAATAGGCCAAAACTAGACTAGTCATAAATGAATGACTACACATATAAAGTCTGTGTAATCTGTTTATTTGACAACTAGTCTAGTTTCGGTCTATTCTTGGACATCTATCAGATTTTCACTGACAGCTCAAGAGTAGCCTTGTTTTAGCCAAGCTGTCCATGTTTAGATGTCTATTAGTTGTCCATTAAACACTATATTGTTTGCTGGGTTGTTTCGGACGTTTCAGTATAATGTTAACATCTATTTTCTCCGTGAATTTGTTTTTAGTTTTTACAACAAATGTCAAAATGAGTTTAAACCAAACTCTAAATCCCTAAACAAACTCAAGTTTACCCACATGAACACATAACCACATTCTTAGCACTTTTCAAAAGCGCTTGATAAGATACTACACAAGATACTAACAAGCCATCTTGTGCAGCCATTCAGAGTTTTGTGCACGCGGCATTTTCTTGTTTGTTACATTTGGGTGTGATTGGTTTACACCTTTCACTAGTACCAGAGGAGTCACGCCATTCATTTATCAACACTTCACAGATAATGGACAATATAAAACATGTTAATTGAGTTTACATGACTCTTAATAGAGCACAAGCGAGTCTAACAAAGAGTGCATTTAAGGATACCAGTGACAGAAAGTGCACAAGCTTTTAAAGGATAGAATGGCATTTCATTCATCAGAGCCAAGGCTAAGGCTGGAAAAAACATTCACATTTTATGACTGAAAAGACATGCGCCATGAGACAAGCAGGCAACATGATTATTCAGCATGTTCCAAGTACAAAGGGATTTGTCAAAGGATTACAGATAAATACGATCTACAAAAGACCACTGCAACTGAGCAGGATATGCCATATTTCACAGCATAAGGGATTTACGGTACGAGAAATTAAGATCGAGCCAAATGTAAGGAGAACTGAGAGTATCAGATGTCCAACACCAAAAATCCAACCACATGTGTAAGATCTGGATTCTGTTTAGTCTAACAAATGAAATGTGCATTTGACAGTATAATTTGCTCAGTTTGCTTTAGTCTAACCAAGCGTTCAGGGCTCACAATTGCGATCTTATTAAAACTACACATTAAACACATCCGAGGCTCAAGTCCTTACAATGCTGGTTAAAGAACAACTAGCATGAAAGTCATTTGTATTGTTTTAAAAAATGTCTAAACGAGTGTGCATGTGAATAGAAGAATGAAGAAGTTTTAATATTTAAATAATACAGTAGCTCTGGGGCATAATGATGGCTCAGTGGTTAGCACTATCGCCTCACAGCAAGAAGGGCGCTGGTTCGGTCAGTTGGCATTTCTGTGTGGAGTTTGCATGTTCTCTCCGTGTTGGCGTGGGTTTCCTCCAGGTGCTCCTGTTTCCCCCACAGCCCAAATACATGCACAACAGGTGAATTGAATTAACTAAATTGGCAGTGTGAGTGTGAGTGTGAAAAGTGTGTATGGGTGTTTCCCAGTACTAGGTTGCAGCTGGAAAGGCATTCGCTGTGTAAAACATATGCTGGATAAGTTGGCGGTTTAATCCGCTGTGACGTCCCCTGTTGAATAAAGAGACTAAGCCAAAAGAAAATTAATGAATGAACGACAGTAGTACTGATTTAGACTAGCATGAAGGTGCTTCATGCAGACAGACAACCACAAACATGCTACCAGCTGCTCATATGAGCTTAAATTGGTATTTTTTTTGGACTCTCAAACTAAAGATGGCTATTGCATTTTATGAATCACCAAGGAAAAATCTTTCTTAAATGTTCTGCAGAACAAAAATTCACTGACATCTAGCGGATGGTAAAATTTAAAGTATTTATTATTCAATATTGGGAAAAGTATTTTGTTAAGTGGTCATGATTTATTTTGGAATATGGTCAGCTAATTAATAAACCTGACCAGCCTGAAAATATGAGGAGTGAAAGAAGCCGTCAATCGGTTAATAATGTAGTTAACTTTAAGAGCAATTCTATGGAAATGTCAATCTTGCCAAGAAAAAAAGTTGACCAAAATAGCGAAACCCTTTCCAAGTTTTTGCTTAGCGTTGTATTTTACTGTACTGTAAAAATACTCAAAAAATGTCTCTATAAATATTTATAAACAATTATATTTGATTTACCAATGTCACACAAGTGGCAATTTCACATCTGTCACGTCCATAACGGTGAGATGTCGCATCAACAATCAAGCTTTTTCTCTCATAAATGCACAAATGTAAAGTAAAATAAAATAAATTATTTTTGTTCAATAGAGAGCAACTTTCATCCTTTTGATTAGCACTGTTTCTTTTGTTGCATAACATGTTTATTTTCCTCATTTAAAATATAAAAAACTTTTACAGATTAGGGCTGGGGGATTTAGCAAAATTGCTATCTCGATAATTATTTTCCATATTAAACGATAATGATATATATTTCAATATAAGATGTAAATGCTTCCAGATTTAAATGAGTTCCCCAACAATGACAACACCACAAAAATTAGGGGGTCCATTGAAAGGCATTACATTTTCGGCCGATAAATTTTCGGTGGCTAAAAAATTCAATACATATCTAATATCAACAAACTTTTAGATTCCTATTGTTGCACATTTCTGCTGTGTGATCGGCTCTCAGATTAATAGAGTAAAAAAAAAAGGTCCAGGGCTAATCCTTGTTATTGACATAAATTTTTTTTGCGTTTTTTTATAATATCGTTACATGCCCAGCCTTACTCCAAATTGATATTTGTCTGATCCCTCAACTCTGTGGTTAGTTGTTTTGGAAAATAGAAACAGATGTTCCAATATAATGTTAACATATACTCTCCTAGTCAAATTATGTTTGGAGTTTTTACTGCAAATGTCAAATTCCACAACACTGGAATTGCTCAGAAAGGGAAGAACAAACAAGTTATACTGTCAAAAAAACTCCAAAACCAGAACTCTCCATCTCACATAGAGGTAAAGTTGGTTTTATAGCGCACATTTGTTCAGTAGCCTGTGACACGGTCCCTGCATTGTTTCCCATGGTACTTTGAATATTCAGTCTGAAATCACACGCAAGCATGACTTCAAAACTATTTATTTATTCAGCACTATGTATTTGACTGTGAACAATGTTGTATGTGTTTGGTACTAATATGACTTCCCTATTTGGTATTTGCAAAGAATCCTTTTCTGAAATTATATTAATAATGAGAAAGTCTGAATGTGTGAATATAAAACCAACTTTACCTCTCACTCACTCACTAGAACTCAACAACAACAAAATGTAAGTCATTACTCTTGATGTTTACCAAATTAGTACTTCAAGTACACAGTAATAAGAGTTAAAACTGAAGCATCGATTAAACCACCTTGTCTAAACAAGAACTACAATACGACGACGCATGGGATATTTCAAGCACTACCTCACTCAGTCACACATCCTCTCCTCTGCTCTGCTTTTTGTCCAGTAGCCCAATCTGAAGGGCAACACCCCTGTAACAGACCCTCACACACTCGACGGGCTTCATTGTCTCCCGAAATTTCAGCTTATACCCAAACGATACGTATATTCATTACCAAGCAGGCCAGTTTTGTCAGCGGAACATGGCAGACTTCAAGCCCAGACAATAAAAGACGAGGGATCAAACTGCAGCAGTGTTGCCAATGCTCCAAACCCGTTAAAGAAAATGAAGTATAAATCCAACCAACACATATATGCACATTGGAACATTCATCCCATGTTATATATTGTTATCACCATATTCTACATTGGCTGTCAACAATATAAGAAACAATTGAAACATAATGTTGGGAGAAAATGCTGTGTTTGTGACTATATACATGTGATCTCGGTTATATACGAGGATCATCTCTTCCCACCTTAGTCATCGAAACTGGGTGTGAAACCTGAAGATTGCGGCTTGATTAGGAATGTCACTGGAATAATAAGGAACGTCACGCGTGGTACAATTAAAACTTGGTAGTTACGTTCTCAAATGTTACAATGTCTCAAACTCTCTCATTATTTCAAGCGGTAAAGGTGTACTGGCAGAGCAAACCAGCGGGACACGTCGAGAATTCACAGACAGTCCGATTAGGGCACCTTTACTGAAGTCATGCTAAAAAGCGACTTGTTTGTGAGTGAACAAAAGGCCACACGGAACGAGCAATGGGAAAAGTGCGCTTACCCAAAGATCCGTTCCCCAGCTCATGGCGAAAAAAAACTCCAAGAACTAACGTCTCCTCCGCTTAAAACTCCAGGGTTGCTTGTTCTTCCCTCTCTCTGCCGTCGTGTAACTCTCTATAGTCTCCAGTGAAGCCAGCAGCGACAACCTCACGGCTCAGGGTTTTCCCATTTCCGACACACACAATGCGCCTCTGCCGCGGGGAAATGGAGGGATGTGTCTGTGTCCAACAGCGCCTCCTATCCGCCACATCTTGTGCGTAGAGATCTTGGATATCTAACAATCTTCTAGAATAAAGCACATATTTTACAACCAGATTTTTACATCGCTTAAATCAGCAGGAGTTTGATAGATATACCGTGTTGGGGAATGTTACTTTTGAAAGTAACGCATTACAAAATTGAGTTACTCCCAAAAAAGGTGCGTTAGTTTTACTGAGGTAAAGTTGGTGTTATATTCTCACATTCGTTCAGTGACAACTTGCGACACAGTCCCTATATTATTTACCATGGTACTTTAAATATTTGGTCTGAATTGACATGTAAGTATGACTTCAAAACAACAGCACTATTTATTTGACTGTGAACAATGTTGTACTTTGATCATTGGCTGCTAATATAATTTCACAATTCAGTGTCGTCAAAGAATACTTTTCTGAAAATATTTTATTAAGGAGAAATTCTGAATGTGTGAATATAAAGCCAACTTTACCTCAATGTTATTTTTCATGGTAAGTATGCATTATGTTTACTTTTGAGGAGGCATGGTCCGGTATAAGATTGTGACAATAACCTGGATAAAATATCACGGTTTGATGGCATTGTAGTTATTGCTCTGAATGTCTGGGTAAAGACACTTTTTCGTTTCTTCAATGTGTTCAGAATAATATGAATACTTCCATTGCAGAAATGTAAGGCTCTGCTATCTTCCTTTCTGTCTGTTCCTGCATTTTCTCATTGAGTGATTCAAGGTAAATAGGTTAATTTTAATTCAGCAACATAATTTTTTAAAAGCTGATTTATTAAACTAAAAAGTAACTTGAATTATATTTTTAAAAGTAATGCATTACTCGTTACTTGGAGAAGTAATATTATTACGTAACTCGCATTAATGCATAACCCACACTGTAGGTCTGTTATGCGGTTTACAAAGATATACTACTATTCTGTTTTAATAATTTAATGAATTATACATTTTATGACAGAAAAGTGCAGAATATCTTTGTGAAGATAAAACGGGATAAATGGCAGGATTATTTGAAGTATTTGCAAATAAAATGTAGCCTAAATTAATTACAAAATGTGCAATTTACTACTGATTAAAAGTATGACATCAAGGCTGCATTACTTCATTAATTTTCCTTCGGCTTAGTCCCTTTCTTCATCAAGGATCACCACAGTGGAATGAACCACCAACTTATCCAGCATATGTTTTACACAGCAGATGCCCTTCCAGCTACAACCCATTACTGGGAAACATTCATACACTCTCGTTCACATTCATACAATACGGCCAATTTAGCATAGCCAATTCACCTATAGCGCATGTCTTTGGACTGCGGGGGAAAATAGAGCACCTGGAGGAAACCTACGCCAACACGGAGAGAACATGCAAACTCCACACAGAATTGTCAAATGGCCCAGCAAACTTCTTGCTGTGAGGCAACAACACTACCCACTGTCACTTGGCATTAATTCGATTTAAAAATAAATAAATAACACAAAAACTTTTTTATTGTTGGAAGGACATCCGCAGCATAAACCATATGCCAGAGTAACGGATGGTTCATTCCGCTGTGGCGACCCCGATAAATCAGGGACTGAGCTGAAGGAAAATGAATGAATGAAAATTTTTTTAATTCTATAAAATAATAAAATAATTCTATTAAAATAATTGTATAATAGCTTTTATTTTAAAATGGAAAAGCTGACTTTTCCGAAACCACATGCTTCCTTCAATTTTACTCAATCCTGTGGAAAAATAATTCTTGTATGATTATTTGCTGCAGTCATTCTTTTTATTTTGTAATATCAATTTTGAATAGTATATTATTTTGTAGAAACCATGATCTTTCCAAGCTTTTATATTGAGCTATAAATATTCAAAACACCACCATTTATTAAATGTTAAAATCATACATGTATTTAAAGTCACTCTTAGGGAATTTATTGCATTCATGCAGACTAAAATAAATCAAACTTTTGATGAATTGTTTTTTTTTTTATTGCTTTTGATCAAATAAATGCAGTTTTGGTCAAGATACTTTATTCAGAAACACGTACAGTGCTCAGCATAATTGAATACACCCCATTTTGGAAATGAATATTTGTATCCATTTCTCAGCAATTATATAGGCAATGTATTTTGGTGCATTTAAACAAAAGATTTTTTAAACGGATATATTTATTAAATAATATATTAATCACAGAACATCTTTAGAAATAGGAAGGTAATGCATTCAAATACATGTAAAATATTGGAGAAAACTTACAACATTTCAAATTACTTTTATAAATTGCTTGTTTCTCTTGATTTATCCTTTTTTATCTTTTTTTTTTTGAACTTGTGTTGGATATTTTTCTATTACATGAATTTGGGTGTACTAATTTTGCATTATTATCATAAGTTATTTTGTTAGATAAGCTCAAGATTTGGCTTCAGTACTGACTTATCAAACGTATAAGCACAAATATAATACTGTAAAACATCCTATAGAAAATATTAACTTAAATGATAAATTTGTGAGGGGTGTACTCATATATGCCGAGCACTGTACACATCTTAATTATTCCAAATTCAAAATAAAGTTATCAGTAATTTAAAAATGAAATAATAAAACTTCCAGAGCGATATTGTTTCAACAGTTTCTTTATTCATTATTTACATCAAGTGTAACACTGAGGAAGGACTTCACAGTAATATACTATTAAAAGTGAGCTTTAAATTAGAATCACACAAAATATACTTTTTACAAAACAGAAAAAATACTGTTAATCTGTCAACCTCTGCCTTTTAATCCCTGTTAAATTCACATATTCAAAATTAAGAGTGTTTCATTTTCATTGCACTTGAAGGACTTGAGAGGTGGCCTTTGGTATATAAATTTCTTCAGCACTTAAAATCTGACCTTACAAATAAAAAAAAAAAGTGAGTTCCAGGTTTCAACATAAAAAGGAGAACAATAAATAAATAAAAGTGACAAAAACGAAATTCGGGAAAGTGAAACAAAATGGAAAAAGCACTGATGTTTGATGAATATGACAAATAAAATACAGTACAAAACATGCTTTGCACTGACGCCTCGTGTGGCTTATAAAGCATTACTTACAGGAGAATTGTTCCTCTTTACATGATACAGTCATGTCAATAGCTACGTTTCCATCCACCTATTCTATGCGCATTTTGTATATGCACATAAAAAAACAGTAAATGCAAACACCAAGATGCGCATACATACTGAAAATGGCCATAAAACCTATGCGCATCACTGAACAGGATAAACTGTTTATTCGATAAAAATATGCATAAACTATGATGGAAACACTTTTACCCAAACAAATTTTAGCATACGCATAAATACAAAGTCACGTGATTTTGTTATAAGAGATCATGTGATGAGAGGGTGCTCGCTGCAGAGCCATTTGAGCAGAGCTGAGCTCCAGCGAGGGGGAGCATGAGCTCTCGCTCCTCCTCCTGTAAGCTGTTTTAATGCGTACACCAACAACACCCCTAACCCCTGTGACATCACTCGTAGAAGAAGTGCAAAAAAGGTGGAGCTCAAGCTCAAGCTCCCCCTCGCTGGAGCTCAGCTCGCCCAAATGGCTCTGCAGCGAGCACCACTTGCGTAATTGGACAAACCAGCAAGCCGAGAACATGGGAAAACATCTGAAATGTTGGTTTGGTTATTCTAAAACACCTTAACCATTTCAGTATTAGTGTTACTACACTCAGAAATAAAGGTATGTGAGTTGTCACTGGGGTGGTACCTTATCAAAAGGTACAAATTTGTACCTAAAAGGTCCATGTTAATACTTCAAGGATACATATTAGTACCTAAAGTGTTCCTTTTTTTAGTTCAGTTTAAATTTTTAGTTACTAATATATACTTTTGAGGTACCAATATGTACCATTTAAGTACAAACATGTACCTTTTGAAAAGGTAACACCTAAAACAATTCCCGTAGCTTCTTCCACCACTGGTTTTTACTGTTGATATTTGGCACCAGATCAGATCAGGAAGTGATGATTTTGATCGCTTTCATCTGTTGGATAGAAACGCTGCGTTATTCGCACAACTTGTATGCGATAATCCAGTTTTGCGCATTTTTGGATGGAAACATAGCTAATTTGATTAATTTATGGAAGAACATTTAAAACAAAACCTTCTGATTATGGCTAAAAAGACCTAATTAAAATACAAACTGTGATGTTAGGTGAAAATGAATGGGAGAAAAAAATAGCTGTTTCACTACAAAAAGGAATTTAAAAAGGCAAAATACTCCCTGACAATCATGTAAAACTGACATACAAAACTCTTCCCCCTCAGCTTGCTCACCAAATATTTCCAGACATAATAATAAATGGAATAGATGACCTGCACGTGTTTCAAAGACAAACTTAAATCAAAAATCTTCCCAATGTGATTACAAGAGAGGTTTTCCTGACCAAATGATGAGCTCTTTCTGTAAAATCAGACCAGACTTCAAGCACTGTTTTTCTTTAGTAAAGGACAGATCATTGCACTTTTTCCTTTTCAAGCTGGACACCTCAAATCCCGAGATATCTGACCAGGACAGTCTAAATGATGATAAAGGCTTGAAAAATTCCAATTTGCCACCTTAAAATCAATATCGAACTTTTGAGAGCAAAACACATTTACATGAACAGAACTTTAACATGACTCTGCAGTGCACAGACATTGAATATCTCACAAAGGCACCATGTAATATCAGAAAACATTGCCCATGGCAGAAAAACAAAGGGTAAAGGAGTTAGCGTTGGCAAATGATTCAGAGTGGCAATAAAAAATTCCAAACAAACATGATGCATGTTTTTCCTGCTGCAGTGAAACCGTCATGGAGAAGGGGGAAAATATTTCTTCCTTTATTAATTCCATATTTCATACCCTAGATAGTGAATTAAGGCAAGGCAATAAACATTTATGTTTAAAAATGTGCTCCAGTGTAATCGGTACAAATCTTTCTCTTTACATTTCAACATTGACATTGCAGGGTACCCACAAAAATCTCATTTATGCAAATTCTGATAGAAATCTATTATTTTTATGAAGACTCAGAAAATGTGTAACCATTTGTGTCCTGAAGAAATCTCTCTTTTAATTGTTTCTATTTGAGAAAAGACTGAAAAATTAAACGCAATCACACACACGCAGTCACACACACAAACACACACACACACACAAAACAACATTCCTGTTTTTAACAAATGAATACATTCATAATGCAGATGCAGAGATGGTGACCCTGACACCAAAATCTCACCACAAGGACACAAGTGAGCATGACCTTCCACAGCCTGTTCGTGGGTATCAAATAATATCTACAATATCATAAAAATGCCTGTGCTTTGAATAAAAATAATTTAAAATTCAAGTTTACAAATGGCGACATTATAAAGTGAAATCAAAATAAATTTACAAATCAATGTGCTAAAGCAATTGCAGTTTGTGTTAAAAGACTTGGCAATACTTGTGTATGTAGTGTTGCTGCTAATGTTGGCACACTATTCACATCCCAAAATAAATTCCTTTCCACAAATCATAATTCCCCCATAGCAAATCAATAAAAGTTGAGAATTCTTGAGAACTCGAGAGACTGAATGTAGTTTTGTGCCATCTGGCTGATGGGGGCATTATTGAAAGGCCACGGATATAGAAGGCCAAATAGGATCCATGTGGTGACAGACCCAACACCATTTCAACTACGCCACACAAACCACTATGAGCAACAATAACACATGGACCATGTCGAAATAAGGACCAGTTACAAAAAGATCTATAAAACTGTCAAGGGATATCAAAAGCTGGATTGTTCAACAAATGTGATCAAATTAAAAATGACAGTATGGGATGTAGAGAGATGCACATGTAATGGCTAAAATGAGATGTGCATTGGATTGGCTGTGTTTGCTGCATTCCACAGTGTTTCTTTTAAACTAGCAATATTATAACAAAGCCATGAATGATTTCTTAATTGTGGGCATTTGTATGTTTCCACTGACATTTTGATGCAATGTAATTTGTTTAAATGTGCACTGAATATCCAAAAATTGAATTGAAATCTTTAACATAACAAAATGGACCATTAAGTAGACCAGTTATGGTGCAGTTGGCTGACCCAAACCTGTGTAACCCCAGTCTTTTTGTAAAAACTGATTCTCTCATATCAAGATAAAACTGCAAATATTGATTAAAAAGAAAATTTTGTCAAAAACAAAATTGTATTTTGGTTGTGACAAAAAGCTTATATACAAAAAAAACTCTGTTCCCAACTGGCAATTTCAAGGAGGAAGTCACCTGTAAACAATAAAGAGATAGAGCGAGTGTGTTTGTAGTATTTTTCTGAGGTACTTCTTAGAGAATGTTCTCTGCCCCCAACATTTAAATAAAACTAGATTGATTTTGGGAGGTTAAAAAAAAGAAAGTCTCAAGGGGTACAGGAGGAGGAGGAGTTTTGGAAGGTGTAGCTACAGGTAAACACAGTGGCTACCTTTGAACAACATCACTGATCTCTTTAATGCACATGTGCAAGTTGTCAAGAGCTGGGCTGGTCCCAGGTCCACTAAGTCCCACTCCCCCACCCGTAGAGCAAGCGCGCAGCTCCTGTAGACTCAACTCCAGTTTCCCTACAGCCTCTCGAAAGGCAAACTTATTACGTGTCTGTGGGATGCAATCAACATACCCCGAGCAGTAGTCCAAAAGTTGGTGTCCCACATCCAGGACCTGGCTGCTGGACGAAAGCTCGGAGTTACCTTGAAGAGCACTACTCAAACATTCAGCACATTCCAGAAGAGCTTCCTTACTGATCTTCTCAAGAGGGATCCTTTCTGTCTGCTGCCGAGTCCGTCTAAGAGTGGGTTTAGCTGAAGTAGGGCCTGGTCCGCCACTTGAAGCACCATTAGCCAACTTGGTTTGGGTGGTGTTGTTACTCGAGGGAACTACAGGGGCTGGAGGCACTTGTGGTGGTGGTATTGACGGACGTGCTCCCCTGACTTCTCTTCCCGACCTTTTGATGGTATCTCCATTGACCTCCATGTTCCCACTGACCACTTCGTCAGCTGCATCGGCACTGTAGGCGTGTTGGAGGGAGCGTAGCATGGGCGGTGGGGGAGGTGCACATTTTGGCTTCACCAGACGTGGTCGGTCACGATCCCCACTATCGGACAGTAGTTTGAAGCGGTTGCCCTGAGAGTCCACGCCGACTAGGTGTGCATCACCCGAGCTGTGCTTTAAAGTCGGGGAGATCAGCACTGGAACTTTGTGGTTATGCAGATTGACAGAACCAAGGGTAGAGGTTTTGGATGGAGATGACCAGCCTTGCCTGTCATCTTGCCCATCTTTCCCCCTTGTGTTTGAGTCCGATTCTGCCTCTCCCCCTACACCTGGTGCCCTAACTCCACCTGCGACCCCTCGTGGCAAGAGTTTGGCTTTGGGACGATCCCGTATCTGAGCTGTACCTTCGTCAAGCTTTCTCAGGATTGCATCTGAAGGTCGTGTTGCCCCATTTTCCGGTTGTGAGGTGGTAGAAGATGTGCGTTCTAGTGGAGGTTTGCTACGGTTTCTTGGTAACGTCAATGCCATGCGTTCTAAATCTGGCAACCCAGCAGACATAGAGGATGTTGAGTTGGAGCGAGGGAATGGCTTGGCTCCACTCACTTCGTCTATTCCAGAAGACTTACCAGTCCGCAATCCTAGAGTTTTTTTAATAAGGCGAGGGGTGAAAAAGCCCGCTAGGCTTCCCCAGCTACTGCTGCTTCCCACTTGACCAGAAGTTGCTCCAGAGTTTGAACTTGAAGGCTTTTGCCCAAATGTGGCCCCACAACAGCGGGACTGCACATGATTTCCCTCTCCGTGAGATGGAGAGAAACTCAATCCATCAGTCTGAGGCAGAGGAGGAGGAGGACCTGAAAACCCAGCCGTGGGCTCATACTTTTTATGGGGCTGGGTCTCCATCTCCCTGAAAGAGCTGCTCCTCTTGGGAGGCATTGGGAGGTTCTGCTGCTGCTGAGGTGAGGATGTAGCAGAAGAGGAGGACATGGACTTCTTCTTCATGAATGAACTGAAGAAGCCAGCCTTCCGATCACGGGTGAAGGTGGTGTCCTGGCAGTCCTCCAGCAGGCTAGAGGGAGACTTATCCCGCTGTTTACGAGGCAAGGCTGGAGAGCTGCTAGAGCGGCCATCACCAACAAAAAGGGATGTTGCAAGACCTAAACACAATGAGACAACAAAAACCAAAGGCAATTAAGAGGCAGTAGTTGAAATATGTATTATGTAATGTAAACAAACAAACTAATCATTTATGTGCATTCTTATTTAAAGTTCTTGTTGTATGTGCTCACTACACAACATTTGCTTACATCCTTGAGTGCACAAATTTCATGTCTTGTCAGAGTGTGGTATGCTGGACTATGAAGTTAATATTTATTTTGGTATCCCTTTATTTTGATGGTACCATTAATGCATTGGTCTCAAACTGGATTCCTGGAGGGCCACAGCTCTGCACAGTTTTGCTCCAACCCTAATCAAACACAGCTGATCCAACTAATCAAAGTGTTCAAGACTATTAGACCCTATTAATCAGATGTGAGTTGGAGTAGTTGGAGCTAAACTGTGCAGAGCTAAGACCCTCCAGGAACTGAGTTTAAGACCATAGGTTTAATGCATTTTGTTGATTGTAAGTTACTTTGCAACTACATACAAACTAATTCTCATTTAAGTATTATTAGACTGCAAGGTTAGGGTTAGGGTAAGGGTTAATGTAAGTTGACAAGTACTTGCAAAGTTTCTTATAGTCAGTTGAATGCTTATTTGGTGGAGCAGAATCAGCAGATATTAACAAAAAGTCAACAAAATGTTCAAAAAGTACCATCAAAATACATTGATACCTTTATTTTTTTTACAGTTGTCTTGGCGTCCTGGTGTAAAACAGGGGTGTCAAACTTAGTTCCTGGAACACTGCAGCCCTGCACAATTTAGTTCCAACCCTGCTTCAATACACTTACCTGGAGGTTTTCAAACAAGACTGAAGAACTCAATTAGTTTGATCAGTTGTGTTTTACCAGGGTTAAAGCTAAACTGTGCAGAGCAGTGGCGATCCAGGAACTGGGTTTGACACCTGAAGTGTAAATGAAGGCTATAGTGTTATATTTGAAATCACCTGTTCTAGCACTCTACTGCTGACCCTCACTGTAAAATTTATGAACTAGCCTGCCATATCCCTTCATACAAGAAACCGTGTAATGTTTCTATGTATTCTTTTTTTGCTCATAATTCAAACATAAGAGGACATGATATTGGGCCAGGGCTGGCTCTCTAATTCATAGGGTAAAACCTTTTATGAGTGAGCCAAGATTTGTGTTTTATGTATGTTTTATATGTCCTGTAGCAAACAGGTGTGTAGGTATTTGCAATAAAAAGTGTATCAATTGATATGAAGGGGAAAAGTAAGTTCGTCCAAGGTTTAAGATACAGCCATACAAAAGGGTATTTTTGCATGCTTTAAAAGGTTTGATAACACGACAGAAAGATTATTTAGACCAATATACATATTAACATTCCCAAAATAAAATGTTTATTTTGCATAAACATTATGCAATTTCAATAAATAAAGCAGAAATATTTTTACGTAGAAAAAAAATAAAAATATTGCACAATATTCAATTCAATACATCAAAACTTCTTTTATTTTGAGTAATGGCCCATTTCCACTGAGTGGTACGGTACAGTTCAGTTCTTTATGCTTTTATAGTGGTTTCCACTGTCAAAAGGTACCTTAAAGTGAACCGTACCCTATCATTTTTGCGTACCCTTTCGAAAGGGTACCTAGCACAACAAAAGGCTACCAAAAGGGGAAGCCAGACAAACAACTGGACGCTATTGGTTTACAGAGATAAGTCACTCGCTCCTGCAACAAGCCAGGAGAATGAAAACAAAGAAACCGTCATTTACATTACACTGTAATAATTACACTGTAATAATAAATTTTATATATATACATATACATATATATATACATATACATATATATATATATATATATATATATATATATATATTAACGTGCCATGGCCAACCCGAGCTCAAAAAAATCTTGTCGTCATCTTAATGAACAGCCACTTTTGCTGCTTTTGTTTTACGAGGCCGTCTAAAAGTATGAGAGGTTTCGCTTTCTTGCTTGCACTTGCCGCATTTATGATTGAAATAACAAATTTCTTAAGCTGGTGATAATACAGTTTCAGAAACGGACAAACCCGAAAAACAAAAAAGAAAGGAGAAGCAAATGATTCTTTCAGCGAATTAAAAGTTGAACAAACTGCCATATTTCACCATTATTACCACCTTTTGGACTATTATGAACTCTAAATGATGGAATTACTCTCTAACAAGAGGTTACATGTGCTGGTGAAGAATAAAGACACAGATGAGGGGTTTGCCTGACTGGGCTATTGACCTTATTCTCCGCAGAAGAGCGGGCGCTGCCATTTGAATCTTTTTGGCACGAGACTTCCGGTCTCATTCACTTTCATTCATTTTTAGACATTAAAAACTGCTCGTTTCGCTGTTTGATGTTGCAAACTGATATTTCCTTGTTATATTATTCTACTTGGTCTGTATAGTCATGCAAACATTTGTTTGTAGAGCAAATAGTTTGACCGTTTTTTGCCGTTTATTATTTCTTGTCATTTCTCCCATAGGCGACTGAAACGGAAGTTCTAAGACAATCACGAAAACAGGCGCACTTCCGCATTTTAGAAAAAGGTCAATATGCTGCGTGTTGCTTTTGAAGCCAGATAAAAACTAAATGTTTGCTGTGTGTAGTTTTTCTTCATTTGGTAACAGTTCTGAGACTGTAAGGGGCTGTATGTGTTCATACAGAATATGTTGCATTTATAACGTTAATTGTAATTTAAACTTGCAGACATTACAGTAGGCTATTTAATCATGGATCTGCAGTTATAGTCAATTCCTGTTCATAGAAAGGTTAGTCATGTACATTTATACAGAAGTATTTTTGTGCATAAAGCCTCTGATTTGTGAGAAGTGCTTCTCATATGATATATGAACGACCTCTACAGCTTTACTTTGACATTTCCTCGAGCGAGGAACATTTTCTCGTTGACTGAAACTTTGTTGTACACTATGCCCACCAAAAGTACCAGTGGTACCCTTTTGGCCATGGAAACGCAAGCCTCATAAAGGTGACCCCTGCCGACTTGTACCATACTGTACCAATCAGTGGAAACAGGCCATTGGGTTAAACAGATTTGAGTCATAATATAGATGAACATGCAGTGGGTGAGGTGCTTGTGCATACTTGGGGTTTAGTAACATGCAGCAAATTGGGTCAAACCAGAATTAAATCAGATGCATTTACAGCAAGAAAAACAAACCATGAGTAAAAACTGTTGACTGTTTATAAACATGCGAGTCTTCTCATATTGATACACGTGAATAAAGACAATGATATAAATACAACACATAACTTTCTTAACCCAATCCACATTAAATATATTTAAAGAGGTTATATACTGGGTAGTTGTGTTAATCAATAAGGAACACCACTCCCATTCTCTTGAGCTTCTTTCTGAGCCGACTGAGCCGGAGTTGAGCCTGTATACCTGCAGGGCCGTGGGGTCCTGCCTCCTCCATATTCTCTTTGTTCTCTGAGTGTTTCTTCTGCCCACGAGACTTTGAGGGCAAGAGTGGCATATCAGGGCCGAAGGTGTGGGCAACTCCACTCTGCCCACCAGACGCAGTTTTACACAGCTCTTCAGCTACCTCTGTCAGAGAGAAGGGGCATGTTAATATCAAAATAGTATTAGTCAAATCTTCGTTAAATGTTCACTTGAATCCTCCACTTGTTTCAAAACATTTCAAAAAAGTTTTTTTCTTCTGTTGAACACAAAAGAATTTTTTTTAACAATTTTGAAAATCAAGACACCAGTTTACAACATACATCAGAATATCTTCTTTCAGAGGCATGCAACCATTTAAGAGTATGCGAGTACCTCTTCTACAGAGTGTGTCGTATAAGTATCTGTGGATTGTATGTTCATATTTTTTGTTTAATGTATATAACATAACTTATTAATATTTAATTATTTAATTTCATTTCATTTTCTTCCAGTTTTCCAGGGCCGGGTCACAGGGGCAGCAGTCTCAGGAGAGAACAACAGACTTCCCTTTCCCCAGACAGTTCCTCCAGCTCCTCTGGGGGTTACCGAGGCGTTCCCAGGCCAGCTGAGAAACATAGCACCTCCAGCATGTCTTGGGTCTTTCCCAAGGTCTCCTCCCGGTGGGACATACCTGGAACACCTCCCTAGGTAGATGTCCAGGAGGCATCCGAAACAGATGCCCAAGCCACCTCAGCTGACTTCTCTCGATGTGGAGGAGCAGCAGGTCTACTCCGAGCTTCTCCCGAGTGACAGAGCTCCTCATCTATAACGGTGCGCCCTGTGAAGGAAATCCAATTCGGGTATCCAAGATCTTGCCCTTTCGGTGATGACTCGAAGACCATGACCATAGGTGAGAGTATGAAAGATTCGAGAACTTTGCCTTTTGGCTCAGCTCCTTCTTCACCACTACGGAGCAGTACATCAACCGCATTACTGCTGCCGCTGCACCAATACCACTGTCAATCTCCCGTTCCATCCTTCCCTCATTCGGGAACAAAATCCCAAGATACTTGAACTCCTCCACCTGGGGATGGCAAACCACCTTTTTCCCCCAGAGCAGCATGGCCTTGTGGCCTAAAAAAGCTCCATGGCAGAGCATCATGGCCTAAAAAAGTATTTGTTTATTTTTAGGTGTAACTGTGATAACTTTTTGTGTATGGGGAAGAGTTGGGGCAAGTATTTGTTTTTATTTTTCTGTACAATATAGGTTAATAAACAGATAAAACATATACATATCTTCTGTGTGTTCAACAGAAAAAAAAAAGTTTTGGACTCAACTGAAGGTAAATAGTTGCACAGGAAATGTGATTGTTTTGCATTTGTTGTTATATATTCTTTGTTAATATTTAAAGTCTTACTGTCGAGTTTTTTCTGTGATTATTAAATGCATATGCCATTCAAAACAGAAGATACCTTCTGAAATGCTTGAGTCATGAAACATGGTTTCAAAGGCCTGATGAATCTCAGCAAATGAGGGTCTATCCAGTGGACTCCACTGCCAGCCTGCCAATACACAAACCAAACATGCTTACCTAATACCTCAAAACTAGAGTAGTATGCATGAACATAACTGAGGAACAATCTATTTGAAGGTTTTCGTGATACTCACAGGCTCTCATGAGCTCGTAGACTTTAGGAGGACAGCCTTCGGGCTGCTCCATGCGGTAGCCCTTCTCCAGCAGATCATATACCTGAGACAGGTCAATTCCTGGATATGGAGACATGCCGTACGTCGCAATCTCCCAAAGCAAAACTCCAAATGCTGGGGAAATTGAGAAAAATAAGTGAGCCATTCACAACAGAGGATGTTTTAGAAATTAAAAACAAACGTCTAACTGCAATCATCATCTTAAAAAAAAAAGAAATAAGAAACTAACCCCACACATCTGATTTGATGGAGAAGGTGTTGTAGGCCAGACTCTCTGGTGCGGTCCATTTGATGGGGAATTTGGCTCCCGCATGAGCTGTGTAGGTGTCACCCGTCATCAGACGGCTCAGTCCGAAATCAGCCACCTTCACCACGTGATTCTCTCCTACTAGACAATTACGAGCTGCCAGGTCCCTGAGAATGAGATGAAGAATGAAAATTAAAGTCAGCATGAACCGGAAGTTACTGAGACTTTAGTTTCAATATGTTTATGTACGGCTTTAATTCCCTCATAGCAAATTAACAGTAAGAGGAGCGTGGTTAAGAACATTGTGTCAGAAGCCGTCAAACTGACGTCAACAGAGAAGCACCGCCACTCCAAATGCCGATGCAAAAGGTCACATTTTGATTGAAGATTACTAAAACACCTTGTTTTTAGTAGATTACCTTTCACGGATTACTTATTCACCTAAAGAATAACAGTGCGTGCTGCAAAAGCTTTCAGCTGGGCTCACCTATGGATGAAGTTCTTCTTCTCCAGATACTCCATGGCGGAGGAGATCTGAGTGGCCATGTAGAGCAGCACCACAGCATTCACCTGGTCCCTTTCACACTCACGCAGGTAATCCAGCAGGTTCCCATGGGGCATGTACTCGGTCACAATGTAGAAGGGAGGCTCCAAAGTACACACACCTGAAAGGAGGCATCAGAAACAACCTATTAGGAACAAATCTAATTACATAACTTATTAATTGTCTTCTGTAGCAGAAGTATGGGCTTATCCAAAAGTTTGAGATACCAACTAATCATTCAATGCTTTTTCAAAAAATAAAAGGGGGAACTAACAACAATGCTAATAATAGTGTTAAGTGGTAATGGTAAAATCTCAGTTGTTCACCCAAAAATTGTAATATTTTTCAATAATTTTGTCTCTCAAGCCATCCACTGGATATACGACTTTCTTCTTTAAGATGAAACATTCTGGCTCTTCCATTCTGCATAATAGTGTTGGGTAGTTGCCATTTTTTCGAAACTATCCCATATGCGGCCAACTGGTTATGAAGCAAATCTCTGTGTTATGTTACGTTTCACATCTATTTTGTGTTTGTTTTCTGTTTTGCGTTCTCTTCCCTCTTTCGTTGTGTACTTATTCCTGTACTAGGTATGCGACCATTGGTTAAGAAGGCTGTCAATCACCATTATGACGCAGTCGGTGCACGTCTTGCCACCAAACTCCTCACTTGTGTCGGCCAGCCTGTTTATGTGTGTTTGTATTATTTTGTTGCTGTTGTTGTGTAGTTTGTCTCACGTTTAAGTGCAATATTTTTTAGATAAGTTTGTGCAGCTCAATTTAGTATTTATTATTGGGAAGTTGAACAAATGTTTCTGCATTTTTCTTTGGTTAGTTAGTTTAGTGGGTTGGGGTTTAGTTAGATCATTTTGTTATATTTATTTCGTTGTTTGGGCAACACTCCTGTTGTTCATTTAATTTAGTTACTTGAAATTACATTCTAAATTTCAATATTTATTGTTGATATGCTCTGTTTAATAAATTGTTAATTTGTGTTTCACTTATCCATCTGTTGTGTTTTCTCATTTTCACCCAGCACCATTAGAGACTCACTGAATGCTACATCTCATCCAACTAAACAACTTAAACATGTAACAGTTATTTGAACAAAAATATGTATTATTTTTCATTAATTTAAAATTATAAACCAAAAACACTGACTTCATCATGGACTATTTTTATATATATGACATTCATATGCAAGATGCATTTATAGCGAAAGCTCAGAGAAAAGATGCATCTCAACATATAACGTTATACAGCAACACTAAGCACACTCGATTTCTTGTTTGTCATCATATTCTGTGCAAAACAAATTGTGTAGAGTAAGTGGTTCCCATGAGACGTCTATATTCCAAGAGTTTCTGCTATGATAGCATCTTACATCGCTCATCACACTTTGAGTCGAAGGAAGTTGTTGACAAAGCACATTTGGCAGCCGCCAGATGTCAGTGGTTTGGATTTATAATTCAAAAATTAGGAAAATTTTTATTTCAATAACACACAAATCTGCTTTATAAGACATGAGGTAACCTCATGGAGGTGTATGGGTTAGTTTTATGGGATATGGGATTTTGGAAGCTTCAATAAACACTATTAAACAGAATGGAAGAGCCAGAATGTTCAGTCTTATTTAATTTAATTATTATTATTTTTAAATTAATTATAATAATAATAATTCCTATCATTCCCATAGCACTTTTCTGGACACTCAAAGCCTTTCCACATTGAAGGGAATCTCCTTAATCACCACCAGTGTGCAGCATCCACCTGAATGAAGTGACGGCAGCCATATTGCACCAGACCCCACACACCACACACCAGCTGATTGGTGGAGAGGAGACAGAGTGATGAAGCCAATTATGATATGAGGATGGTTAGGAGGCCATGATAGACAGAGGCCAGTGGGCAAACTTGGGATTTTTTTTAAATGTCCACAGAGAGTAAGGATCTCGGTTTAACGTCTTATCCGAAAGATGGACGTCTCATCATTAAATTGTTATTTATTTAATTATATTTGTTAAAAAATTTAAATCAACTCAGACTGTGATCATCTGACAGAAAAGAAGTCGTGTACACCAGGCATGGCTTGAGGATGAGGTAAATCATTGTGTTATTTTCATTTTTGGGTGAACTATTTCCTTTAATGATAGTTTACTCACCCAGTAACTGTACTAGATTGGGATGTTTGACCTCCTTCATGACTGAGGCCTCCTTAAGAAACTCCTCAACCTCCATGGTGTCCTCCTGTCCAATACAACAGAAATACATGAATGCAATATAACGAACAACCACTTGGTGGCAAACAACACCACATCAACAATCTTCTGCAAAGGAAAAATACAGCACGTGCTCATAAAACAGACCTTTAGTGTTTTTACAGCTACAGTGAGGTTGTACTTTTTCCAAACTCCAACGTACACCTCTCCGTACTGTCCTCCACCCAATTTGTGCTTCATGGTGATGTCGGTGCGCTCCATCTCCCACTTGTCGTGGATGGGAGAGACGCCGTAGACGGTGGGCTTGTTGCATTTGGGAGCAGGATAATGCAGAGTGGTTACCAGTCCATCCGCAACTGTGGAATGATGATGAACCAGCTCAGCTAACGTGCTGAAACGACTCTCTGCTGTCACATAGACCTGAAACAGAAAAGCTTTTTAATTTAAAGGGACAGTTTCCCCCAAAATTACATTTACTCACCATTTATTATTTCTCAAGAGGTTCCAAACATGGAACCATAAACTTACATAGTAAGAAAAACAAATATGAACTAAAATATAAACTATTTTTTTTGGAACCAATCAGATCTCGATCTTTTTTTTTTTTAAAGCATAAGACAGTTTTTATAATTTTGGTGAAATAATTCTGGTCAAATAATATCTTCTTTGATAAAAATAACAGAACCAAAGGCCTACTGTATATGACAGACACACAGTCAAACTAAAAACATGATGTTTGCGTTTCACTAGGCTACATTATTTGAGCATTTGTTATGACATTTTCTTTGAAATCTGTAATGGGCTACCAGTATTGACCCTAATCGTTGGTAAAATAACCAGACTTTTTAGCAAAGCCTGATATTTTCCTGCAGGTTTGACGCAGACTAAACTAAACTGTATGAGGCCAGTTTTACTTAATAAATATTCCTTTTACTGTTAATGACAATCCATATTGCACCCATCACTTTCCTTTTATTAATTTAATCAATTACTTTGACAACAATGAGCCAGGCTTTACAAACTATTTACAGCTCTGAAAGTATCCCCCTCGGAAGAATATAAACTCAGTTTGATGGATGAAGGATGAAGCGCTGGCCGATACCCAATCCAGCAAAAATATGCGTTATCGAACCGATATCCTATCTAAGTATTGGGATTGGTGCATTCCCTACAAATAGGGAATCCTTGTGGTCATTTTTTTGTTGGGGTGTCTGTTTGTGTGCGTCTGCGTGTGTCTGTGTTACAGGTTCGGCTGATTGCGCTGGGATTAAAAACACCTGTGTAAGGTTGATTTGCCCTGCTATAAGTAGCGTGTCTGTCTCAGACATAGTGAAGGCTGCAGTCAGAGTCTAGTCATCGCCTATCTTCCGTCTTGAGTCGGTCTTGGACCTGAGTAGAGCTAAAAATATGATTAATGAAAAAAGAAAAAAAAATTTTGTACCGCAAATGCGCTCATCTTCTTATTTGTGGTGACTGGTTTAGGTCTTAACAATTATGGGCTTGTCCAAGATCTGTTCGGGACCTCGCGCATCCCAGAGAGAATCATATCTCTACTTTTAGCAGGGAAGATCAACCATACACCGGTGTTTTCAATCCCGGCGCAATAAGCTAAACCTGTAACGCACAAACACACGCAGCCGCACACAAACAGATGCCCATACCCCAATGAAAAATGACCACAAGGGGTCGCCTCACTATGGAATTCAACGGTTACAGGTTTCTTACTTTCTTCAAAATTTCTGCTTTAAAATTCAACCAAAAAAGTCAAACAGGTTTGGAACAAAATGTTATGATATATCTTGAAAATATCAGACTTTCCCTAAAAAAAAAGCTAAGAACTTTTATGGAAGCCATTTATTGAATACTTTAACAAGAACACAGAAATTGAAGCCTAACAGAAACAGCCCAGATTATTTTTTCTTTAGTTTGTTTCTCCATTTTTCCCTTTGATCCCTTTGTCCCCCCTTTATCTCATATACAGTATAAGATTTTAAAAGCGGTTGTAAAAAAATAATGTATACTAGTGCTGCACAATATTGGAAAAATCTGACATTGCAATATGTTTTGGCTGCATTATATATAGCGAGATGAACATAATTTCACCAGATGATTTGAATAGCTCTATTTAGAAAGATTTTATTCAGTGAGAGGGACTGGGATGATCAAGTCCTTTTCTATGCAGTGCATCTGTTTTTTTGCACCAGTGTAAGAATTTTTGTGCCAGTGTAAAAAAATAAATAAAAAGAAATGTAACCAGGTTTGGCACAAGTGAAGGGAGAAAAAAAAATTACAGAATAAAAAATTTTGGGGTGAACCATCCCTCCCTTTTAGGCAAAAGAAGCACGATGGCAAAGTAAAGCTCTTATACCTTTCCATCAGAGGCCGTGTTGATGCGGTAATGATAGACCCGTCCCTCATAGCGAAGAGAGATGGAGAGCTGGCCGGGGCTGCTCTCGCTTTCCCGCACCAGGAAGCTGCCGTTGATCAAGCTACTGAGCAGGTACTCGGCAGCGCTGCGGGACACGGGCCCATGGTACCAGCTGTGCTTCTCCAGACTGTTTACGGGGGTGATGTAGTTACTGGGTACCCAGCCCTGGCCGTTCTTTGAGCGGACTTCACTCCATTCTCCATTCTGGTTATAACCCAACACTCGCAGCTTCTCTCCTGCAATCCCAAAAAAAAAAAAGAGTGAGATATACACACAACACTGTACATAACAAGACTTGTTACTCGGCCCTTTCGACATATTTGTGAATGTACTTTGAGTTGAGAATTTCAGTAATTCATACCAATGCATCTCCCTTCAATGGAATGGAATTAAAAAGAGATTAGAAAATGCGAGCTACAACAGGTCCATTGTTACTTTTCCAAAACATCTGTATCAGCTCTATCAATCAACAAAGAGCAGGTTTCTGTCTGTTATTCAGACTGAAGTACAATCTAGTATCCAGTTTGGAAGTCTAAACCAAAGCTGAAGTAAAGCTGCATGATACTGAAAAAAATGGGATGTTTTGTTTTCTTCTACATCTACACTCACCGGCCACTTTATTAGATACACCTTACTAGATCTGGGTTGGACCCCCTTTTGCCTTCAGGACTGCCCGGTGTGCTCTTTTGCTGCTGTAGCCCATTCGCCTTAAGGTTGGACGTGTTATGCGTTCAGAAACGCTCTTCTGCATACCTCGGTTGTAACGAGTGCTTATTTGAGGTACTGTTGCTTTTCTATCAGCTCAAACCAGTCTGGTCATTCACCTTTGGCATTAACAAGGTATTTGCGCCCACAGAACTGCCGCTCACTGGATATTTTCTCTTTTTCTGACCATTCTCTGTAAACCCTAGAGATGGTTGTGTGTAAAAATCCCAGTAGATCAGCAGTTTCTGAAATACTCATACCAGCCCGTCTGGCACCAACAACCATGCCACATTCAAAGTCACTTAAATCACTTTTCTTCCCCATTCTGATGCTCGGTTTGAACTGCAGTGGATCGTCTTGACCATGTCTACAAGCCTAAATGCATTGAGTTGCTGATTAACTGATTAGAAATGCGCGTCAACGAGTAGTTGGACAGGTGTACCTAATAAAGTGGCCGGTGAGTGGATATTGCAATATGACTAAAATTTAGATAAAACTCATTCATTTAAACTGAATGAGATGATTCTGTAAGGGAGTGAATTAAGCATCTAATATGATAAATAAATTATAAGCATAGATAAAATACAATAGAGCAAGATAAAAGTGAAACCAATAGTGCTTTATGGTTTTCTGAACAGTCGATCAGTATTTAGGTAGAAAAATAGAATAATCAAATGTAAAATAACACTGCATAGATCTCGTCATATGAAAAAAGTTAATACAATCAATATTTATTCAAGTAATCAAATATTACTGTTTATTGTGTCTGAATGCTTTAAACTCTCATGCCTTAAAACAATTGCAGATATTTAAATTCTGCTGTGACTTCTCAAATCTCAAGTTCTGAAAAGGGAACTATAATCCCGACTTAGCATTGCACATCCTGTGATGTAAATATTAGGGATGTGCACATTGATATTTGAATGCTTAAACGATATATTGTCCTCCTGATGTGACAATGAGATAACCAGATATAGTACTCAGAATACGGTGCCATTTATTAACTGTTCCACGTATAAGTGTGTCAGAGGGTCTTCAGCAATAGCATAACGTCATGCATTTCACATTTTTAAGATGCAACACAAGCTAAAAATAGTCTTTTTACAAAAAAGCACTTTGGAAACATCTCAAGAGCCTTGTGTCCTGTTCCATTAAGCTGTTCTCCATCAAGCTATTTGAAAAAAAAAGAAAAGAAAAATAGCACACATGCTGTGCAAATCCTTTCCTGCATGTGGAAGTAGTGTGTGTAATGTTGAAGCTCAAACAGCTGTTCAAAATAATGCTGTAACCAATCATCAAACCAGGTTTCACCAAGTTTAAATAACTTAAAACATTTTTAAGACCATCATGAATGAACATTTAGACTTATTCAGGGCTAAACAGTTTTTTTCCCCGAGTATCCCAGTTGGAAACGATTTTCACTTGCCCTATCAAAAAATTATCAATTATAATTTAATACGTTAACAATACAATAATAATGCTAATAAAAATATAGGTCAGCTCAGAATCCTCAGCAGTAAATACATGGAGAGCTTTTAAACTAATATTACTGTAATGGAAATGATTAAACCATTATGGTAAATAGAGTTAATTTTTATTTTAAGTAAAAAGTAAAAAAAAAAAATTGAGATGGATTGTTGGTGATTTTATGGGTGATGGCCAGATTGGCTAGCAATACAAGAACAAAAGAAAATTAAGACCTGTTAAAAAATGATTTAGACTTTGACTTGATTTAGACAACTGTGGCTGGACAATTAATCAAAAAGTAATCAAAATCGACATAGTGAACCTATAATCGATCTACTCTTTCCAGGTAAATTTTTTCAATTAATATTTCCCTGTTGAGGCTGATTTATAATTCTGCATTGAACGCACGGGTTATGGTCCTTATTTACAGGATATGTACAAGTTATTTTATTTAAAAGATGTAATGCTTGTGTTCTACTTTTGAAATCTGTCAGGGAACTGTAGGGATAAAAAATTAAATAAACAAATAAAATAATCTTTTATTAACCGTAATCAAGTTAAAATGTTCAATTAATCGAAATTTTAATTTAAGCCAAATCTCCCAGCCCTACTTACAACACAATACTGCAGTATAAATTTAAGCCTTTTAAAGGCCTAAAATCTAGTGTTTAAGATATATGACATTTTAAAAGACTATAAGTCCCTGTGGACGCCATGCCTTTTGGAACAATTGTAAATTATAAATAAAAGTGTAATAAAAATGTAAATATTGTATACATTTTTGGCATTCATATTCACCAGTGGTCAGTTGCTAAAAAAATCTTACCACACTCCCCAAAATTTTTTGAAAAATAAAATAAAATAAAATATAATAATTCTCAATTTTTAGCGCAAATATAAAAAAAATCTTAAAATCAAGAAGCATTTTCTAGGCAAGTAAAAAAATTTTTTTTCCGAAACAAGGGGTCAAAATTTAGTTTTTCCTTATAACAAGAAAAATAATGAAAAATTTTCTATTTTCAAACTGAAGACAAGATATATTTACTTACCCAATGGCAGATTATTTAGCTAGTTTTAAGGACAAACTTAATTTTGACATATATAAACTTTTTAGATATTTGAAGTAGAAACAAGGCAAAAACTCCAAGTAAGAAACCATTTTTACAGCGCAAGTCAGCATTCATTTGATCAAAACAATGCAAACATATTGTGAAATACTACTAGAAATTGATTTAACCATTTTGTAGTTTGAATATATTTAGAAACCATTCATATCTTAGAGCTGAACTTTCAGCAGACTGTCACATTTTACAGAAATCCCTCCAATATGCTGCTTTGGTGTTCAAGAAAAATAAGATGATTATTAAGAGTAGATTAAATACATGTCTTTTCTTAATCTCTTAATCTTGTGATCTTATTAAACAGTGGTCCAGTAGAGGGCGCTACTGTCCCTGCTGTCAGGGAAGTTCAGTTCAGGCCTGCAAGCTTTCAGACAGCACATGCTTTTTTTTTTCATGCTAATCCCAAATCGACACTAGCGCGGCAACAAGGCCCACACGACAAGACAAGAAGAGACTGATGCATCGGTGCCAACCAGACGACATTACATTACCGGCCATTAGTGGGTACTTCAGACAGAACAAGCAAAGCGCTAACTCCCTTGCTCTGAACTTTCTTCTCTCAGGCTAGTCTGTGTTTACCCACCTGCTTTTCACCCAGCTGATGGGATTACACTTCAAAACGGGCATTAGCGTTAGTGGTAGCAGTTCAGCATGGAGCATCTGAGCGTTTAACCGCCTGACTCATGTTCCAAACTCTATTATAACACTCTAGAAAGAGCTGTGGGTGTTGAAGAGGTTGCAGTCCATGTGTTCTCGCTGCTTGGCTGAGCACAACACAAAGTTTGGCATCCGCTTTCATTTTTAGCCTGGTTCTTTGGGCTTTGATCCTACTAACTGCTGCTAGGAAGAGGAAAAAAAGAAGAACTGAAGTAAAGAGAAGAGGAAGGAGTGTGAATGGAGAGAAGAGGAAGGATAATGGCACTGTGTCCTTGTTATAACAAGGAAGTCATCAATAACATTTATGAAACACTCTCCGGGCCTGGTTTATTTCAGTTTTAAAGGGAAGCGTGAATGAAGAAATCAAAATTCCAATGATCTTTAAATTGATAAAAGGTCACTGTATGATCAAGTCAAAACTTTTTGCTAGTTTAAAAGTTTATTTTGAAGCCATTCTGCCAAAACGACACATTGAATGCAGTGCTGCCAACTATTTACAATGAAAAGGTGCTAAGCTCTGCCCGAAAAGTAGCTAGATTATGTCATATGCCAATTTGCATATTACTGATGTCATCACGTCTTACCGTTTCTGTTTAACAGCCAATGGTCAATATAGGGGTATTTATATCTGCACTTTGCTTTATGTTATCATGTCAATTTAACGAAATGTATTGCTGTTTGAATACGGTATATCAGAATAGATGTGTAGTGAATTTGCGGTAATCTCTCTGACGTAATAAACTCAGACAAGTTTTGAAACTTACTAAAATATCTGTGATTGTGAACAAGAAAAGAATAAACAGTCAAATTAAACGGTTAAATTTAAAACAAAGAAGCAGCAGATCGGTTTGACTGTACAAGGGAAATACCTTCACACTCACGGTGCTAAATCATTTGCCGTCAGTACGCAGAGGAGTGATCTGCTCTCGGCCTGCAGGTGGGAGAGACTGTGGTAGATTGCTAGATTGAATATGGTTGCGGCTGGAAGTTAATAAGAATTATTTATATTATTTAATAAATCTCCCATTAATTGTATTTTATTAATGTTTACCCCCCGCCCAACCATCACAGTAATGTAAAATATGAATTATTGTTATACAGATTCATAAAAATGCTGCTATAATTGATGTGCATATCACACTTCCGGCCGGCCGTGTATCAGATCTAGACTTTACCCTGTCAGTGCTCTGAGGCAGAGGAGGGGCCGACGGTATCACCCGCAGCTTCTTGAGAAGAGTAGAAACGATACAGTATGGGCACATGAGAATCTATTAAAATCTCAAGTAACACCCAAAAAAGTCGCTAGATTTGTCGCTAGTCGCTCTTTTGAAAATTTGTTACTTAGAGGGTCTAAAAAGTCGCTAAACAAAGCGACAAATTTGCTAAGCTGGCAACACTGCTTGAATGTGCAACTTTAGTAGCTAAATCCTGCCTCCATACAACAAGACTGCCTTTTAGCTCCGCCCACTGATTAACACATATAAATAAATAATGAGAAACCTCTTAACTACATTCTCTGAAGACAGCAACACACTGTGCAGTGCCATGTTGCAGAAAATATAAAATAGAGAACAAACGGTTAAAGCAGTAGTCTTCAATCTCGGTCCTGGAGGGCCGGTGTTCTAGAGAGTTTAGCTCCAACCCTAATCAAACACACCTGAACCAGCTAATTACACTCCAACTAGATATAGTAGAAACTTCCTGGCAGGTGTGTTGAAGCAAGTTGGAGCTAAACTTTGCAGGACACCGGCCCTCTAGAACTGAGTTTGGACACCCATGGGTTAAAGTGTACAATGATACCAAGCCAATGACTGTAAAAAATATGGACGACGCGACAGCCCTTTTTCCCATTGAACGCCTTGAGGGCAAAACGCCTGCTTGACGGGCACAAACTGTCGCAAAAGACTGCTGAAATTGGAGCCAGACATGCGCAGAAGGATTGTCTGATGGAGCCAGAGGAGGAGCCGCGAAAATGAGCGGAGTCGAGCTTCCAACCAAACGCTTTATGTAAAATCAACTACGCCCCCCGAACTTCTCAGCATGCGTTTGCTGTCATATCAACACAAATGGATGTAATAACGTTAACAAATATGAGGGTTTTATATATTTAATCGCGCCAGCTCCAGGCCGCAGCGCATAACTTACTCGCGGCGTCGCGGGCTGATTCCGGCTCGCATGCGGCAGCGCCTGCTCGCTCGGCCGCCGCATCTGGCTCGATTGACTCGGGCTGGAATTGGGTAGTAAGTCCAGGCATCCGGAGTAGGTCCAGCAGAGGTAACATTAGTCAGTCTGAGCTCTAAGAGATAAGTCTCCGGCAGGCGAGAATCTAGCCGGAACTGTGTTTTGCTATCTGGGTGGTTAGGCGTGTATCAGCAAACTAATAAAGCCCGAAAAAAGCCCTGAACTTAGCGAATAAACAGTGTTCCACCAGGATCATGTATGTCAGAAACTATAGTTTACTGCTGAACTCATTTTGTCATGGTAAAATAACACAGAAATCGAATAATAACATTTCAGTCTACTTCAGTCTCCTGCCGAAGCTCAGACGCCGCGCTTTGAGAAACTGTCAATCACCGCTGTCAATCACGATGACACACCCAGCATTAAATTACTGCTAAAAACAAACTGTTTACAAAAATGAAGATCTGCACCTATTTCAGCACAATAACCAGTGCCTTAATCGACCAGAACTATCTTTCGGGACATTTTATTGCAAGTGTAATATTTTTTTTTATTTGGGCTCAAGTCTCCTTCATTAACACGGAGGAGGCGGGCTTTATGACTTGTACTGCAGCCAGCCCCCAGGGGGCGATCTAACGGCCGAAACCTTCACTCAAACGTAGGCTTGCGGCACACTTGTACCAACCACAATTTATTGTGCAACTACTCGTCTCCTTCACATCATACCTTTCGTGATGCTTAGTGTGTTGTCACCACTGGCAACAAAGTCGTAAAGTGCCACAAAAAGGTTGGGGTCACTTTCAGCAGCACCCAGCAGATTCTCCTTGGAGCTCCAGCGCACCGCCTCCGTCAGCGCCGTCGAGTCCAGTCCAAACGGCCTGTGCAGGGCTTCTGGCAGAAGAGAGACAGAGAAAAAAACACAGCAGATGAGAAACTGAAAACACAAGCGTCTGCCAATAAAGCAGAAGATCTCAGATGAGAAGAGGCCTCTGGGAGGGGCAGAATGAGTCTACAGGAGGTGGGAGGGAGGGGTTTCCGGAAAGGAGGAGTCGATAAACAAGTGAACACCAAGGTGAGAGGAGAGAAGACATGTGATAAAACCGAAACTAGCTGACGCAAAATGAAGGTGATTCAAAATGATACCACTTTGCTCTTGACGTCACACCGACTTTACAATGGGCTCTTTTTCAAAACTGCAATTAATAATACAAATATAATAAATAAAATCTGGCTTCTCTGGATTAATTGGGTATGGTTTAATATTTGTTTTATTCTGTAAAAGTCTGATAACATGTACACATGAACATCACCTATACACTATATAACTACAGGTTAACTATGTTTATATATAACATTAGCTGCTAAAGCTATTAGTTACTTGTTAATTAGTTAAAGTTATGAAGTTACGGTAACTAATAACCTAAACCTTTTTTTTTTTATTGTAATGCAATTATTTTATAAAGCTGCTTTAAACAATAATTTTTGTGACAAGAGCTATTTAAATAAACTTGACTTTCGCTTGACTGATTTCTTACAAATTTCGACAAATAGAAATGTCATTTAGAACATTCAAGCAGAATAATATTTTTTTCATCAAATGCTCATTTCTTCTGAAGTTAAACATTGGTATTGTGTTGTCTAAAATGAATATATACCATAAAACATAGACACCTTGTTTGGTCCTTAAATGAAATTCCTTACAGAATTATCATTCATTCATTCATTTTCTTGTCAGCTTAGTCCCTTTATTAATCCAGGGTCGCCACAGCGGAATGAACCGCCAACTTATCCAGCAAGTTTTTACGCAGCGGATGCCCTTCCAGCCGCAACCCATCTCTGGGAAACATCCACACACACACTCACACACACACTCATACACTACGGACAATTTAGCCTACCCAATTCACCTGTACCGCATGTCTTTGGACTGTGGGGGAAACCGGAGCACCCTGAGGAAACCCATGCAAAGGCAGGGAGAACATGCAAACTCCACACAGAAACGGCAACTGAGCTGAGGTTCGAACCAGCGACCTTCTTGCTGTGAGGCGACAGCACTACCTACTGCGCCACTGCCTCGCCCCCTTACAGAATTATGTTTTACTCAAATACATAAATCCAGAGAGCAGATCCAAATCCAAAGGTGAAATTTCTCTGAAATATTTCCTAGCTAAATATTAAATTCAGCTGAATTAACATGTCTACAAACTTCAGACGCATAAAAGCAAATAAATCCTGGGAATGGCAGAAGCTTCCACATTGTCCACACAAAAACCAACAAATAGACGTCCTTGAACCTGAAATCCTCCACAAATCCTCAGAAAAGCTCTACCTGCGAGGCAATAGTGGTCATCCTGTGTGCTGGGTAGTTTGGTCAGCCTGACCCACTCTTCCTCAAAACTGCTGCTGGACGGAAGGGTCCTCAATGTCATAATCTAGCGGCGCTAGACTAATGTCTAATCTCACATGGAACAAAACACAGACCCGATGTGTTGAGGATTCTCCTTTCATCTGGGAGAATTGGACTCTTATGCTAGTTTGTAAGCAGGGGAGGAGCGTCAAGCAGCTTTGAGGTTGGAAAAATGGTGTGGGAGAGTCTGTCTCCACGCCTTGAGCATGCCTGTGTCTGCTGGTCTTCCTCTTCAGCTGTCAACCAGCCACACACACACACGCGCATATACACAGCATGTCTGGGCAGCTGCCCCGTTCCTTAGGGGAAAATTGTGGCAGGACTAAACGTGGGATGAGACAGAAGAGCATCAGAAACTGACTTTAATGATTATTAGAGAACAAACTCTGTTTTTGAGATTGGGCTAGATTAGATCTTTTAAAAACTGGATGAAATCAAACAGTCTTGTCATGGAATTTTAGGATATGATTACCATGCCTAATCCTGTGGAATTTGCAGGATGATTAAGAGAATACCGTGGTATTAAAATTCCTATTTCAAATGCTAAATGCCTGGCATGAGCATCAGCCAGAATATTCATCCTCAACTTGCATCACAAATCCAACAGCAACAAAAGGTTCATCATGACACATCATGACCAATACAAGAGTCAGCTAGTGGACAACTAATGTTTTCAACTTTCTACTCAAATAACCCTTAAAAATGCATCTCATTCTTTACAGAAAAAATATACACTACCGGTCAAAAGTTTGGGGACATTTTTTTATCATAAATTATTTAATAATTTACATTACATTATTCTGTTCATCAAGGCGGCGTTTAATAATTGTAAAAAAATGTTAAATACCTATGTATTAAATATTTAATTATTACTTACTGTATGTAGTTTCAAATGAAAGTTTTACTCCAGTCATTATTACTTTTATTACTATTACCATTAATAATAATAACAACAACAACAACAACAACAACAACAACAACAATAATAATAATAATAATAATTAATATTAGAGTTATTTCTGAATGATCGTGTGACTGAAGCTGAAAATTCATCTTTAAAATCACTGGAATAAATGATTAAATTAAATGATAACATTTCACAATGTTACAATTTGTACTGTATTTTTGATTAAATAAACGCAGCCTTGGTGAGCAGGAGAACCTTATTTTAAAACATTTAAAAAATGTAACTTTTGACCCCAAACTTTTGACCAGTATTGTATATATGTTATAACAACTTTAAAAAGTACAAATTGTCGGCACTGGCAAAACATTTCAAAACATTGAAACTACATTTTCAATTCTGATACTATTTCACAAATATACAGTTTTGCTGTATTACTGTACCTTGATGAACCTAATAGGTTTGTAATTGCGCTAATTTATTGTGCTACTAAAAATAAAATAAGCACTTCATAATTAAAAGCATTAACATTTTAAATTTAAGTAACAGTAGCTTTGTTTCCATTCACCTATTTTCATGTGCATTTTGGATATGTGCATAGAAAAACGGTCGATGGAAATGGCAAGATGCACATAGATTTTGAAAATGCGCAAAACTAAGTAGGATAAAATTTTATTCGATAAGATGCGTATAAACTACGAAGGAAAGACTTTTACAGAACAAATTCCAGTATGCACATTTAAAAAGTCATGTGATTTTGTTCTAAGAGATCATGTGATGATAAAAATGTGTGTTAATGGACAAACCAGCAAGCTGAGCACGTTGGAAAACATCTGAAATGTTGTTTTGGGCATTCATTGACGCCTTAACCATCAGTATTAGTGTTATTATATTAATAATGATCTCCAGAATTATCAAGAGCACCTTTGCTCCGCGTTTCATGAATTTAAACACCACCACGTCACGTGTTCATTGAGTGTTGGCATTGTATTCTGAGGCGCAAGTCATATATTAAATAAAGATTCACGCAGCTTTTCCTAATGCAGCAAATTCAGTTTTTACCTTTGATAATTAGCACCAGTTAATCAGGAAGTGACCATTTTGTTCTCTTTGACTCACTGGATGAAAACGCTGCTTTATTTATACATCTTTTATGCCATATTCCTGTTTGCACATACATTTAATTTGCATCTTTGGATGGAAACAAGATAAAACATTAAATTATTAAAGTTATGAGTCTTAATGACTTGGGGAAAAAACTTTTATAAGCACATCTGCTCTTAAAAGCAGCAATAATAGTGTTTTAGGATTGTGTCTTATGTAACCGCTGACTATGAAACATGTCCAAGCAGTTTCAGTCAACATGTGGTAATTGCACACAGCTACCAGTTAAAATGGACTAGTTAACCTAAAAACATTCTCACAAACAAAACAACGAGGTCTGTGAGGATGGTCACTTCAAATTAAACTCAAAACAATCAGTATGCATACAAGACGCAACATAGCCAGGACGACACAAAGACTGGTCTTCTGCCAAGACTTACACAACACAAGAAACCTGCAAGAACACGCAGTAGAGACACTCAAGGCCTGTGTGGCAAACCTCACTACACCACACACACACAGATAGTTACACATAACCCTACCTTTATTGCTGACTAGCATACAGTGCTTTCCAGTCCTGGCCAGTTGATTAATCCACAATTCCCAGTACATGATCCCAGTCTCAGTACAAGGATTAACAGCAAATCACTATAGCACCAAATCCTCAAGTTCGGAGTTGAATTCACACTAATGCAGTGAGAAAAATCAGACAAGCTCCTTTTGGTGGAATCATCGGTCGAGTCTCCAGCGTGGCTCCAAACTCAGAGTTTCCAACCCTGCAGCCGGAATGTTAGCCTGACTTGATTGTGGGCCTCCATGCCAACTGCCCTGAGTAAGAAATATCCACATGTGCTCGTGTGTGCAATGGGAAGAGTGCAGTTCTGAGGGTGGTTTTATTGGATGTCTTGTGAGGGGAGGCGTGTAGGGGGATACATTCAGCTTTCAGAAGGGTTTAGGGACGAGCAGATGGTTCCATTTCTACACCATGTGTGCTGCCTACCCAACATCCTCTTGGGAGAGGCTGGAAAAGCATGGAGGTGAAGAAACTTTAGTAGGAAACGGCTGTGCCACATTAAACGTACCGCTGAGTTTCAGAGCAATATGTAAATTGTATTGAGACGGGATGATCAATTATTCAGTTGCACCCAAAACCTCTCAACATTAAGAGAAATAACCTAAAACATCAACACTAGGGATGGGTACTAAAACTCAGTACTTTATTGGTACTGGTGCTAAATTATAAAAGACTGAAGTACCAATAAGCTCTGACATTAATGGCAAGCGCGTCAAGTATAAAAGCCTTCAAAGCTCTCGGCTGTCCTCGCTCACTCAGTTCTCGCTGTGGCACAAGCAAAAGTATAAATCAGCCTGTACACAGAAGTCTCTCTCTCACTCAGTCACTCACTCGCACACACACACACACACAAGACGAGACTCCCAAACAAACAGCTTGTGAGCTTGCGCGTAGAGTGACGA